ATTGCTGGTTCATTCACTAGTTTTTTCAACTTACCGTTGTCAAGCGTAGTCTAGTCTACGTTATGCAAATTTCTTGCCTCTTTTTATTTGATGATGTAAATTGGACTGTACAGAAATGAGTAAACTATAATTATAGTAATGCAACGTAATGTTATAAAACATTTTTACTTATATTTGTGAGTATTAAGCTTCCAATAAATTGAATACAAGATTTTCAATTTTCCATTTAATAGTTTTACATTAATTACAATAAAAACATTTCAACTCAGCTGTGTCGTAATATCAATTAGTCCGAAATTTTAACATAAACTGACTCTTTTGTTAAAAAAAACAAAGTGATCCATCTGGTAATACGACAACAGTAACCATGAAGAAAAATTGTATTTGCCTTGTTATCCATATTTTCATTGAGTCGTGCCTGCTTGTTATCCGGATGTCAGACCGTGACGATCAAGAAATCAATTATTCCTTACATACACATGTCTAACGATACCTGCCTCATTTCATGAAACATGATTCATGAATTAGCCTTGCATGGCGATTGGCTTCAGCCAACTGAAAAAGAGACGTGCGAGACCCGTCTGCGAGAAGAAGACGGTTGCCTTCGGCCACTTTTGGATAGCACGTTACCACGATCGGTACGCCAGTCCAGGATTCCGCTTCCTCGGAAACCATGCTGCTCCCGTGGCTAATGTAAGTAACTTAAACGTGCAACGAACGAAAGCAATTTATCACCGGAACGACGTACGTACGATCTAAATAAATTATCTTCGATTTATCGCCAGTCGAACAATAGAAACACAATTAGGAAGCATCCAGGCTTCAATGAACTTTTATTATAAGTAATTATTGTTGACTAATACCGAGTTTCGTTGAATAATTTAATCCGAGGAATAACGTGGTAGAAAATCATTTTGGATGATTTATATATTTATTTTTCTTTTTTTTCACAGAATCTGTGCGATTCTTCACTTTGATATTGCATAAAAATTCGTCGAATAATCGTTACGAGTAATACAATTTGATCATATGACAGAGAATCGACATCGTACAATCGAATCACATGCACTCTGCTCGAATCTGTCGCTGTTCCGTCACACTTTTCGATCGTTCGACGCAAAAATTATTTACAAGTTGAATTTTGTTTTTTTTTTTTTTTCTCCCTCCCCGTTGCAGATGCCACTTGACAATCGTTACCGCGGTCCCGTTGCTTTCTCCGTCGTCGTTCCTGCGTGTTTGGAGGACCGTGAACATGATGAACGACACTGACGCGGATCACCACGAAAATCGGGAGCACAGAGTTTGCGAGAGCGCCTACTGCTACGAGATCGGTACGTTGTTCGTGCTCTCGTGACGTAACATTTATATAAGTTTGCAATTCTCTTGCAAATGAGTTGCACATTATTATATAAGGGAAGAGGCTGCGTCCTGCGCTATCGATATACGTTATCGAACAACTGAACAGAAGAGAGAACGAGGAAATTACCTTAGGGAATTGATTTTCGAAAAGTTGAAAGTCACGTACCATCACGTTTTCTCTCAAACGTTTCTTTTAATTCACTGTTATTAACGATATCTGCACACTCATAAGGTAAAGGAAGTTGACCAATTTCTATGGTTAATAGTCATTTCCTTGTTTCGTTATAAAATGGCCGTTTGATTGACTGTTTGTTTCTGTAATTTTGCCTGAGTGATGCCTAGAATGCAGGAGATATCAAGGATTTATCTTACTTTTCAAATTGGTCGACATTTTTTTACTACTCTTAAAAAAAAAA